TCTAAAAAAAGTTGTAACATCTGGGGCCAATATATTTTTCAGAGTTAGAAATTGCTGTTTTAATTCTCTCTTTGAGTAGTTTCTGTATAAAGGGAATCGTATGACTGCTGAACTCATTTTCAAGCTATTTAGGCATACCAGGATATACTGAAACATGGTTGGATGAAGCAAACTGCAGGCGGATACCAGTTACTTTTTCGATTGAAGCGCTGAAGCCAATACATACACTATCAAATTCTAAGGGACTATCTGAGGACCAGCTTCTAGGAATGCAACAACAAAAAAAGCATTCAAAAAGATAGATCTGGTGTTAAAGGTAAGGATTCCAACAATAGGTAGGTATGAGGTGATTGATGAGAAGTATTCACCATCTGCATTGCTCAGATGTTCCAGATTTAAATTCCTAAACATACACAATGACAGATGCCCTAATATTCTGTTTTTTTAGGGAGAAGAAGAGTAAAGAGGGGGAATTAATATTTCAGTCCTTGCAATCACGCCAGAGTACTCGGTTGATAAATATCTAGACTTGTCAGTTCAATCCAATGCACTCTGATCAATTGTCCTGCTCTGTTTTCTCTAATTCCATAAAGATAAAATTATTAAGAAACAGTATAATAAGAATATAGATATAGATGATTTGAGCTACAAGAGATTTTAGAAATTCTTTAGCACTCTCATTTTATCAATGAGGAAATAACACCCGCTTCGAAGCATCATCGTAGGTTAGATGTGATCAGATGAAAAGAGGATGTCTCTCACATGCTTTCCTACCAGACTATGAGCTTCATGAAGGTATGGTCTGGATCACATCCTAGTATTATCTCTCATGTACTGGGGGGACCAAGTAATCGTTGAACGAATACATGGAACTGATGCACAGTGCCTTTCTAAGGTCTCACAGAACAGAGAAAAGAATTCAAGCTTCTTGAATATTAGCACACTGTAATCCCAGAACTTTTGAAAAGTAGTTGGGTAAAAACATAAGTGCTTTACATTCTATAAGCTTATATTTTATATTCTGGCAAGAAAAGTAAGTTATAATATTTAGTCTTTTAAAAAAATAATGGGATTTCCAAGGATGTTCTTTAAAAAATATTTTAAAAGATTTCCTAATAAAACAGTCACATTTGAAAATCCATACTAGGGAATCAGCAGTTAGCGTAATGGCTATGTCGCTGGACTCCCACGTAGTCGACCGCGGTTCACGTTCTGGACCTGGTGGCTTAGAACTCATGCCGGGTGTGTGTGCGTGCGTGCCCAAGATCCCGAGAGCAGAATGGAGGAGAAGGGATTGCGGCGTGACCATTCCCCCTGGGGGGTGATTTTTCGCTTTCTGTCTCTATGTCTCTGTCTGTCTGGCGAGTGCACGTGCCCTATAGCAAAAACCTCTCAAAAAAAAAAATACTAGGCTGGTATGAAGTGTATTCATGTTGGGGAAATTCACTTGACAAGCTGTAGTGATGTATAGTGATTGAATATATATAAAATAAATTAAAATCAATAAAATTTTTCAAAAGGGAGGATAAAAAGAAAGTCCATACTACAGATTTTTTCCCCCAAATTTTATTTCTCTAAAGTAGTTTTAGAGGAGAAATAATCATTTCATAGAGACCCATTATTGCCTCAAATCTAGTAATATAGTATGTACTGGTCAAATCACTACATCAAAGCAAAATCTGTGGTCACAGCCTACAGAAAGGGAATGTAGTTTGTTTTGTGATTCTAGCCTTGTAAAGGTGGCCCACTGTACTAAATTTTCAAGAACAATGCATCGTTTGATTTTATTGGGTCGCTGGAAAAGCCATGATGCATTTTTGCATAGAAAGACATAGGAAAATACACCCTGGCTTTTCTGATGACCCAATAATAGCTAAATTTATAAGTAATTCTTTGAGTACTCCACAATATAATATCTGGGTTTAATTGGCTTATAGGTGGTCATAATCTTGAGTATCTATAAATTTCTACTTTTATACTTTATAATGACCTCTCAGTTCTATGTACAAAAACCTTAGTCATCTTACTAAAAAAAAAAAAAAAAAATACTTGCAATATTAACTTCCTCCACGGACTGTCAATAAAAGTCAATTGTCTTCTTTTTTTATTTTGGAGAGGTTTTTGCTATAGGGCACGTGCACTTGCCAGACAGAGAGAGACAGAGAGATGGAAAGTGAGAAATCACCCCCCAGGGAGGATGGCCATGCCGCAATCCCTTCTCCTCCATTCTCCTCTTGGGATCTTGGGCATGTACGTATCCGCGCCCAGCATGAGTTTAAGCCACTGGTCCAGGATGCGAACCGTGGTCGGCTACATGGGAGTCCAGCAACATTGCCATTAAGCCACTGCTGGTCCCAAAAGTCAATTGTCTATTATATGAAAATAAGACAGAATACATTTTCAAAATATAATTATGTTCCTTTTGTATTAAAGAAAAATCTTAGTAAAATAACATAAAAATTATAATTGTTAGTCTAAAAAAATCCATAATACTTATTTGACTACAGTGTTTCTTTTTAAATATAGTTTACTCTTAAAATGGTAATATTCAGAGATAATTACTGGAGTAATTCAGAAATTTTCCTTTATTTCAAACAAAGGAAAGATATCAAAACAATATTATTTTTTCCTTTATCTTAATCTACATATTAACGATGAAAAAAAACAGTGTTTTGATCACTTAGTTTCTTTCTTCTTGATAACAACCCAAGAAAAATAATGTATAATTTATAATTCTTTCAAATTTAGGAAATAAGATAACAGAAGTGGGGAGAAGGGGAGATAGAATAAGAGTTTTCAGTGCCTGGACCTTCTGTATTCATTCTGTGAAGCTAATGAACAAGGTAAATTTTTCACAGTGCAGTGTTCCAGAGATCACTTACAAGAAGCTAGAAGCAGGAGTGTTTGCATTTGTTTGTTGCAAGCGCTGTACATTGTGAAAGAGCACAGGCTGTGGTATTTGTACACATCTACATCAATCAGTTGAAAAAGTCAATTTTGCAATCCAGGAATTCCTTCTTTAGAAAGATAGCAAATCCATATTCAAATACAGTCAGATCCAGGGTCATTCAATAACGCCTTATTCACATTCCAGAATATATTCATCCTTTACTACATGGGCATGCAAAACACAAATAGCGTATGTATCAATTTCTTTTTAGCTGTACTTACTTGTTTGTATTCTGGTAAAATACACCTAACAAGTGGTTATATAGAATATAGAATGGTTACCGTAATATTTTTGACCTGGATGAAAGATGTGAAGTGAGAAGTCTAACAATAATGAATACTCTTAAATAAGAGAAAGTACAGTACAGTATGTTTTTCAAATTTCATTCATTAACAACATACAATTATTCTAAAGATCTACTTGACTTGAGACCAGCAGTTGGCATTATGCCTATGTCACTGGATTCCCATGTAGCCCATCGCAGTTTGAGTCCCAGACCTGGTGGCTTAAATTCACACTGGGCACATGTGTGTGTGTGCCCAAGATCCCGAGAATCGAGGAGAAGGGATTGTGGTGTGGCCATCTCCCCTGGGGGGTGATTTCTCTCTTTCTCTCTGTCTTTCTGGCAAGCGAACACGCCCTATAGGAAAAACTTCTCAAAAAAAAAAAAAAAAAAGAGTCTACTTGACTTTATCTTGGCAATCTCTTTATTTGGTAGGTGCGTTTGTAAAACATTAAAACGTTTAGTGTTGTTACAAATAAAAATATCTTTCTTAGGGTTATGTTAACATCTAGTTATTTTCCTATAGCTCATTTTTCTCCCTAAATTTAGATTTTTTTCTTTATTCTTATTTCTTGTTTAACCAGTGCTTATCTAATATAGCACCTAAATATATAAGATGATGATAATTTTAGAGACATTTCACAAGGTCCAATAGATAAGTCTATATGACAAGCTCAAATCTGATCGAAGTAATAAAACATGGTTTTATTTTAGGTTTTTGCAAAATATGGCAAGGAATGTACTTGGAATGAAGTAATCTACTGATACTAAATTATATCCATTACTTATGTTCTATTTCTAGCTTCTTGTCAATAGGCTATGAAGGAAGGCATTAACACTCACACTATTAGAATATAGAAACAGGTTTGGTGAGATTGCCGGTTTATAATAATTATTGAAAGAAAAAGGAGAATTAAAACTCTGATCATGGCTACTTCTAGGATTCACATAATTCCTGTGCTGTCACCCAGGGTTTGGAAACCATTTAGGTCACTCGGGAACTAAGTAAGCTGAGGCTCAGGAAGAGTAAAGTGCTCTCCCAGAGAGCACACAACAGCAATAACAGGGTCAAGCCAGGTCCTCCCTTGTTTGTACCACTTTACCAGACGACTTTGGCTTACTTTCATCCCCTAGACACATCTACAGTAATGACAGGTTTCTAGAAAACTGACTTTGGCATCATACTTATCTTCAGCACTACTTAGCCTAGCTTAAGTTCTTATAAATAAGTCATAGCAACTTTCCAGGCCAGAAGAAATTAATTGCTGGGCAACACTGCTTCATACATATAACTTTATTACACTTCAAGAATGGCCTTCAACTAGAAGTCATGTCCTAAACTGGTTCAGACAAAAGAGACCTCTTGGCTACCTGGTGGGGTAAGCCTTAACCAGCTTAACAATCACAAAATCAGGCACACTGGAACTGACCAGATCCCTCATTTAACTTATTCCTTGTACATTCCATGCATAATTCCTTGCCGTGTTTTGCAAAAACCTACGGTGAAGCTATATTTTGTGACTTTGATCAGATTTGCCTCTGTCAAATGAATTTATCATTCGGAGCTAGAGAAATACCTTTAAAATTGTTATAATTTTATACTTTTAAGTCTGGTGGAAAAAGACGTGGGATCAATGTCACTCATTTGCTATTCTAGAACATTTTGTGACATGGAAGCTACCGTCCTACACTGAAGATGGTGGCTAGATGAGTGGAGATTGCATGAGAATAACAGATAATGAAGTAGCAAACGTTAGGTTAACTTACCCTTGAATTAACCACTTCCAAGGAGACGTTCTGAGGGGGAGCACTTGGCACTGTAAGAAATAAGACAGGATATAATGGTTATTGCCAAAGTCCTGAAAGAGAAGCTCTGACCTTTCTTTGAAAAGAGAAAGTGTGTCTTTTTCACAGTTCATAATAATATTGGGTCGTCAGAAAAGTCATGACACATATTTGCACAGAAAAATACATCATGACTTTCCCAATGACCCGATAATTAGGTAGTTTAACCCAAGTGGCAGTTCAAAATTTTCCTGGAGAAATAAAAAATAACTGCATTTGTTTATTTTTTCCCACTGGGTGGGCCAGTTAGTTCCATCTAGGGAGGTCCCAAAACTATTAGGCAAGAGAGTACCTGCCGTGATACCAAATACTGACATTTAATTATTGCTTTCTTGTGATAACCTTCCCAGGAAAACCAATACAAACACAGAGGAGATTTCCTAGAGTGGTTTTAAAGGCTTAAGATATTGTGCATTTCAGGATCTGTATGGTTTTATGATGAACTATGTTCTAATGGTCACCTGGGTTGCTTAATCCCTTTAATATAATCTTTATTATCTCCTAGAAAGTGAAAAGAAGAAATACTTCCCTTTTTTCAGCTCTGTATAATTAAACATGTGTGTCATAGATGCAAGCAGATTACCAAATAGTATTTTGCGAGTCAATTCTATTAACAAACGAGCAGTTAATTTTCCTTCATAGATTTTCTAGGCACTTCATTTCTCTTGCCTGCATTTTAATTTTCCCACTATGTTGTGATAGAAGGAAGAACATATACAGCTCTCTTTTTACTATTTGTAATGAATATTTACTATACCAAACAAATGACATATTCTATCGTGTGAGTAATTCAAAGACAACCATTCACTCAATGACTGTTATGTATTAGAAGTATTCTAGATGTCTGGGATGAAACATGAATGAAAGAAAGCTTCCTAATCCACAATAGGAATAGAAACAACATTCAATAAATTATTTAAGATATTTATTTACTGAGAAAGAAAGAGACTCACGATAGAGTCCTGTCACGGCACCATACCACGATCCACCCCCAGCCTTCGAGGCAGCCAGGAGGTGTGTGCACCAGCTTGTTTCAGATCCACCCAGGATCCAAATTCCACAGTTCCACATGGCTCCAGCTTTGCAGAGCAGGAGGCTACTGCAGCTGGACTTCAATAAATTCTTAACATATTAATCTATAAAATGAGTAGTCATTGTTCTTTTTTGTGGCAAATAGGTGAATTTGATAGAAAAGAAATAAATACTCTCAGGCATTTTCACAAATGCAAGGGCCACATTTTGTCATATTTTCCCTTCTTCTAATTTAATTTTAACAATATTGATTTTTCCTATAGGATACTTATCTGTTACCCTGAAATTATTTATGCCCTACTCTGATATTACCTTTTGACAGGAATCACCAGGAGAGTATTATATATGTTTGATTAATTTTTATGTCATTCAAACTGATATTCAATAAATATTTACTGAATCAGTGATTGAATGAAAGAGTGGATATTTACTTAACTGTTAGCTCCAGGACTGTTCTGGACATTATTGGAATTGCAATAATTTACTCTGTTTTGATTCTGAACTTCTTGTGTTAGTGCTTGATAAAGGCAGATAATGTAACTTGTAATAAAATGCTCCCTGGAGGCTTAGTTTTATAATGAATTAAGTCAGGACACATTCTTTCAAAAACTTTTTTTTTTAATTTAGGAAGTACTTTAGTATTTAATTTTTAAGTTTCCATTGTTTTTCTTCCTCATTAAATACAGAATGAAACTACCATAGAGACAAGAATTTTTTGTTCATTTTCATGCTGCATCACCAATATCAAGAAAAGTATCAGTGATCTGGTACAGGCTACACAAATAATTGTTTTATTAATAAATCAATTAATGGGTTATAAGATAATTAAAACTCACATTCAGGGTTTCGGTCATGAGTTCCATTTTGCACTTTCAATATTTAAATTGAGGCATAAAATTGTTATTTATTTTTATTATAAATATGCTTATTGATATATATATGTTTTACTGAGAAGCTTGTGATATATATTGAGGTATAACATGCCGCATATCATGTAAATTCACAAACTTCTGATAACTATTATCTTTTAAAAGCAAAGTTTGGAAATAATGTCTTAAGTGATAAAAAATTACTTTTTAAACAGGTAAAAGTATATTTAACACATTTAATATGATACTGTAAAACATATAAAAACATATCGAACTTATATTTAATATGATACTGTAATAGCTATATGTCATGTGTTACTTACCATATTATACCCACTTTTTAACCAATTCAATAATATCAAGACTTAATTTCTATAACACTAATTGAATTTATGATAGGTGACTGAATTTTGGAGGGAGAAATTAACTTAGATTTATCATGTGTTTTGTTCTAGATATTGTACTAGCTGATACATAACCCTTACATGTCAGTTTAGTTTAATATTATAAATGGTATTTAACCCCTCATTTATAGACAGCCAAGAATACTTCATGAGAAAGAATAATTATTAGTTCTTTGTCCCGACCCGGGGGGGACAGCCGAACAGGTTTCCTGAGTGAAGGAGTGAGAGTCGGGACAAGCGGCGTAGTGTTACAGCACGGAGACGACAGTGTCGTCCGTTTATTGTGGGCAGCACGGTACAGCACAGAGACAACGCAGTGTCGCGTCGTCTACTGTGAGCAGCACGGAGACAACGCGGTGTCACAGCTCTTCAGGGTCGTCCGGAGACGATGTAGTGTTACAACTCTTCAGGGTCTCCCAAGTCGTCTGGAGACGACGATGCAGTGTCAGCTCTTCAGGATCTTCAGGGTCATCAGGAGACTGCGCGGTGTTTCAGCTCTTCAGGCTCTTCAGTTGTCGTCTTCCTGGTCGTCGTCGTCGTCTTCTGGCTACTGTGGGCCAGGCATCGTGGTTATATACACTCTGGTGAGTTGTAAATGGTGGGCCGTGATTGGTTGTAAACGGTGGACCGTGACTGGTTGTAAACGGTGGGTCCTGATTGGTTGTTAAGGGTGGGTTATGATTGGTTGCTTTTGGACCAATCATGAGGTGCCGGATATGCAAATTTGAGGGATTCTAGTGGCCAATCAGAGCAAGGTTTCAAAGGTCAGGTTTTTGGAAGGGAACCAATCATGGTAATTGTTTGCTCTCTGAGAAACTTCGGCAGACTCGCTGGTGTGCAGCTTCCCACAGTTCTTTTTGTACTGATCACAATTTTAGAAACATTAGAATTTTCTGTTTAGAAATTCAAAGCCAATAAATAAAATCATAAAGATCCTTACAATAATGTTGTTGACATATTTTGTGTATTTTTTTATTTTTCTAGATTATAAATTCCTCTTATTTTCCATGGACAGCGCATTGGCTATTCTTGTCATGTTAGAGAGAGAAGTAGAGCATTTTATTCTCTAGTGTTTTTAGTTGTTAATTCCTACTCCCTCTTTTTCAATATCAATTCCATATTATTTAAAGATAAATAGATAACAATAGATGGGATTAGATGCCTGATGGAAGTGAGAGAAATACGTCTACCAGGACTTTTCTTTATTTATCTTCCTATAATAGCTCATTGTTTGTTTTTTTTTGTTTTGTTTTTTGCTCATTGTTTTGTTTTGTTTTAAATCTTTTTTTTTTTTAATTGACAGAGGGCACATACACTTACCAAAGAAAGACAGACAAGAAAGAGAGAGAGAGAGAAAAAGCTATTCTTAATTTGGTATGGCTATGCCTCAATCCTTTCTCCTCCATTTCTATCCCCTGTTGGGAATATGGAGACTCATACTCACTTACATGGAGTGTTTTAACCTATCTTTAACCTATCAACGCTGGGTTCAAACCGTGGCTGGCCATGTGGGATCTGGCTCCCTTAACCACTAGGTTATGAAGCTGTCTTACATTTCTCTTTGTTTTATGAGGTAGAGGAAGAAGGACATTTTTCTCCTCAAAATGTCAAGTAACTTGTCATTTATAGTAGGTCCATGAAAGTCAATCAGAGGTAGGTCTTGAAATCCCCTCTGTTTGTGACCCACGCTGGTTTGAAATATAAGGTGATGAGGCACTCTTGTAGGGTAGATAGCTTCCACCTTTGTGAGTTCCTCCCCTTAGGAAATATGTGATATCATATCCACATAATTTATGAGTCAAAATAATTCATATTTCATAATGAGTTTTTTAATTTTTAATTTTTTAAATTTAGTTTATATTTTTAGAGAGATTTTTACTATAGGATACATGCCGGAGAGACAGAGAGATGAACAGACAGAAAGTGAGAATCGCCCTCCTGGGGGAATGACCATGCTGCAATCCCTTCTCCATTCTCCTCTTGGGACTTTGGGCATGCACGCACATGCTCCCAGAATGAGTTTTAAGCTGCTGGGTAGGGACTGGCACCATGACTATCCACGTGGGAATCCAGCAACATAACTATTATGCTATCTACTGGTCCCAGAGCTTTTTTTTTTTTCAAGGAACTAATGTAAGATATTTATTACAGAATAAGAGAAAGTTACATTTCTCTATTGAATCCTGCCCCTTCGCTCACTAGCTTATGTGAAGCAGCTCTGTTGTTCTCTAGCTTTTGTGATCCCTTAGTTTCGTCATCTGTAAAGTAAGGAAAATTATAGCACTGAGAGGATAAAAGGTTAGTGCAAAGTCTTTGATCAGGGCTTTGCATTCGTAAATACTGAACAAATACTAGCAATAACAGCAGTAAACACATTTTTACAGTTTTATTGCCTATGAAATTGGGTCCTTCTGCTTTTGGACATGGAAAAAGCTAGCTAGCATGGACACTCACAATTATTAGTTAATTCATAAAAGCTGTTAATGATCTACCCATGACAACTACTTCAAGAGACAATACTTTGAACAAACTGGAAAAACTAGTTATATGATATGATGTGCTATAATTTCAATGATTTGACAACGTGGTCTATTATGAAATTTGCTATATAAGGTAGAGAAAATTAAATAAAAAATGATGTATCTACCCAGCAAAAATAAATAAATGAAGTAGAACTAATTAGAGATGACAGTTCATCTGGATAAAAACTATTATAAATGTCTTAGCAGAATAGATAAACAACTAGAATAATTAACTCAAGAAAATTATTTACATTTACTTTTTGTCTTTTAAAAAATTTTTCCTCTGCCCCAATATAAATTTTTATGATAAGGATTCCTCTAACAAGATAAGAAATATATTCTCTAAAACACAGATGCATTTAGACGCAGTCATATATTAAATTAGTCCCACAAATGGAAAGCCCTAAAGATAAGTCTTTATAGACACACATTTGTACAGTTTTGGCTGAACTGTCTAATTAATTCAATAGATATTTACTGGGTTAGGAGGAATATAGAGTTGAATATATCGTCTTTCCTCAGATTTAGGAGCATATAATATAATGATTAAAAGATATGCACATTGGCATGAATAACATTCATTTTGAATATTTAAATGGATGTCCTATGCTGTTTTTGCATGGATTAGCCCATTTAATTTTCACAACATCCACTTGTTACAATATCCAAAAAAAATCAAAGGAGAAGAGCACTCCATTACAAAAGACTGGGAAGAAGGTGATTATTAAACAGGAATAAATACATCTAAATGTGATGGGTGGCCTCAATGTGAATGACTTTAGTAGAGAGGTGCAGGCATTGGATTGAAGTAAACAGAAATGGGCGAGGTAATAGGGGAATGGAGTAATGGAAGCCAAGGGTGCAAGCGCCCACTCCGAGGATACTGTAAAGTCCCTGCTTTCTCCCACCATTTCACCTGACAGAGGGAAGTTGGTGTCCCTTTGGACAGTGCTGTTTAGTGGGACTAGGGTCATAAAATCCTTTTCTTTTCTTTTCTTTTCTCCCCAGGGACATTTTCTAAGCATTGCAATGGTTACAAAAGGTAATTCTTGGCTAATGAGTAATAATCTATCTTTCTCACTTATGACATTTAAAATCAAAGTGAAGAATAAGGCTGTAGTATTACAGTTCAGAGTGTGAATGAAATCTACATAAATTATGTAAAACATTCATTTTCATTTGTTTTTCTTTTATTTTTATAATTATAACTTGTGAAGTAATTTATTCTGCCAATAAATATTCTGTTCTGTCTTCAATAACAGAATCGGATGGATGGGCATGAGAATTACATTAAAAATGATACTGAAGTGGCGTTACATATAAAACACATTTTTAAGTCAAAATTGCAAATGAGCATTACTCCTGTGTTCCCTTAGCCCTGTTGTTAATAACATGCATGTCTTTCCTCGTTCCATCGACATAGTGTAAAATATCCACCCAAATACTTTCCCAGATAAAAGAATGATTGGTCAAGGGATAATACGCTAAAATCATTTTTCTTAATTCAAAAGACCCCAAAATTTATAGAATTAAACACAATGACTTGGAAACCATTGCTGAAAACAGCCAGCAGATTGTCTTTTTTTTTGGAGAGGTTTTTGCTGTAGGGCACATGCACTTGCCAGAAAGAGACATAGAGACAAAAAGCGAGAAATCACCCCCAAGGGAGGATGGCCACGTCGCAATACCTTCCCCTCCATTCTTCTTTCAGTATCTTGGGCATACATGCACTCGTGCCTGGCGTTGAGTTTAAGCCACCGGGTCCAGGACTGGAATTGCGATCAACTACATGGGAGTCCAGCGACATAGCCATTACGCCAACTGCTGGTCCCGCAGATTGTCTTTTTAATATTCAATGGAATCATCTCTATATTTCCCCCCTTACCTAAATCATCACTGGCCCACAACACATACTATACTATACTTTATTTTCACTTTTTATTAAATTTCCCAATCTTGCACTATCATTCTTTTCTTAGATCTCTAGCTTCCCTCGCCTCTGTTTTTCAAATTCATTTTTATTACTATTTCTTCTTTTTATGGCGTTTTAAAAATGTGTCTTGTTTTTCATTTGTTAGGCAAGCAAGGTAAAACTAAAAGTATAGATTTCATTTTCATTTTTTTATCATGTATACTTTAATCCCTTTTTTGGGGAGAGGTTTTTGCTATACGGTGTGTGCGCTCGCCAGAAAGATAGAGAGAGATAGAGGGACAGAAAGTGAGAAATCCCCTCTAGGGGGGATGGCCATGCCACAATCCTTTCTCCTCCATTCTCCTCTCGGGATCCTGGGCTCACATGCACACGTGCCTGGCATGAGTTTAAGCCACTGGGTCTCGAACTGCAGCTGGCCACATGAGGGTTCAGCAACATAGCCATTATGCTAACTGCTGGTCCCCATGTATACTTTAATCCTAATGAACATACATAATTAAACCAATTTGTGAAGTAACCTGCTTACACAACAACACATGTTCATTTTTTAAGACTCAATGCTGGATTATTAGGCCTAAATGCTTATTGTAATTTTTTTTTTTTTTGTATAGAGCATATATGCTTGCCAGAGTGAGACAGAGAGATAGAGAAAGTGAGAAATCATCCCCTCAGGGGAGATAGCCATGCTGCAATTCCTTCTCCTCTGGGGATTTTGAGCATAGTTTTTCAAGCTGCTGGGTCCAGTACTCAAATAGTTCAGTAGGCCATGTGTTATCCTGTACCTTAACACTATGTCATCTCCTGGCTCCAATACATTTTCGAATTAAGGGGTATGTATATGTCATTTACACATTTAATCCGTAGTGTCCTTTCAGAAAAAAATAAATCAAAGAAGCATGCCAATCAAAAATATTCCATACACATATACAAATGTGTTTGTTTTAGGGCAGTTACAGAAATACATACACACACACACACACAAACACACACAAATAATTTTAGCTCTTAGTAAACAGTCACACTTTGAGGATGACATATTACAGGATCCTAGTCCAGAACATATACCCTGATACAAACTTTAAATTTGATGAGAACAGATAGTTTGGGCAAATTGGCCACATTTCAAATTTATGTTAATGTATTCCATAAAATTTTAGTCAGCAAACCTTGAAAATTGAACCTATGGCATACCTGCAATAGTATTTCATTTTTACAACAAATATGTGAATGAAGTTTCACTATTTATAACTTACCATCAGAAAGCGTAACAACTGTTATATCATCCGTAGATACTCCTGGTCCATAGCGATTATAAGCTAGGAATCGAAGAGTATATTCGGTGAATTTTTTCAGGCCTTCCAGTTTATAAGATAGTCCATCAACCTCTATATTCTGGAGACATAAAATGCCAAAACTGTTATTAAGGAAATGCATTAAAGCAGAAATGGCAGCCATTCTGTATAATCAGTGGATTGAATATTATACTCTTATGACACAGCTACATTTGAGCCTTAAAATGAGTTGTTATAAAACCTAACTTGTGACATAGACTCCCCCACTAAAGCCCAAACTACCCTGTAGACTCCTTGTTAAAACAGCACCATGCTATTTTTACAGTCATTAAGTTCCAATTTGTTTAACACCAGGTAATATATTAAATGGTATGGGTTACGCCACCCACACCAAAACCCTCACAGGCAGCTTGTAAATCTATGGCAGAGATCTGCTCCTGTACCCCACATGGAATAACTCTCTGAGAAACCACAGATTTTTGTCCTTGGCTTGTTGTTAACATGCCCACATTTCTGGGAATTATCAGATAATTTGCCACAACCCTTCATCTCCCCAAATGTGAGACAGGCTGAAGCTGTTCTCAGCACATCACAGCTGCAGAGGTACGGGTGGTGAAAGTAACTAAGAACCTCAAAGTCAGTTCCCCTAGAAGACCCAACGTTTAGCTCTACATGACAACCCTGTACGCACGTCTATCATGAGAGACGTTATTCTTGTTACTTAAATGGGCCGGTGAAATGTATGACTGAATAACTAAAATATAAAGGAATCTGGATATACTAAAAAGTTAGAAAATAAGTGCTAATAAATAACGCGGGAAAAGCGAGCTATAATAAAAAGAAAGATGTGATTACATAGGAGGGGATCTTGTAATGCTTATCTTACAAAATAACTTAGGACCAGACCTGAACTATTTCTGAAGAGAACTGTGGAAAGTCATTTTTACAATGAAAATCCTAATTGTGCATTTTATAAGGAAGCAAGATGGCCACTCTATGATTGGCAACTTTCGCAACACATATGCAAGGCTCTCTTGTCTTCAGGCCACGTCCCTATTTAACTAAACACTCGTCTAGTTATTGCTGAGTTTTGTGTGTCTCCCTAAAGATGTATTTACTCCAATTTGTGGGTTTTTTTAAACAATAATTTGCCTCTTTTTAAGTGTCTATGCTAACTGCCAATTAGATACAAAATGTGAGGAGAAAAGAGGAGTAGGCATCTAAAAATAAGTTTCTACTAAAACCAATAAAAAACTAAGTCACAACCCAAATGGTGTGTAGAAAACAGATGTCATATAGAATATTTTCTTATATATTTGAAGAAAACAACTTAGCTAATGCCACTGAGTATGAGGACAATCACCCTTAGAATAAAGAGTAAAAATGAAAATACCTTCTCGAAACAAATGGGTTAATCCAAATATGGTTACTCACACTGGCCCAGATCATTGCATAGTCAAACTGAAATTGACATTCTCTTTATTGATTTCACCTAATTGTTCATTTGCCCCTCACTAACAGAATTCACTGAAATTATTTAAAGTTTTCAGCAAGAGCTTTAAAACTACTTAGCAAACCAATGAATGTGCTGAGAACAGCATCATATCAAGAGCTTGTGGTCTCTTTCTATTTCTCTAGTCCTAGACCCGTCCAACAGATGGAAGCAGTGTGGCCCACTGCCTGACCTACCTGTTCTTTCCCTGTGGACACCTCAGTGCAGAACAATCTGTAACCTTGAACTGGACCATTTGCATAGGCAGGAGGTTCCCAGGTAATAAGGATTGAGGTAGGTGAGGTAGATACAGCTTGCAGGTTTTCTACTGGCCCTGGAACTTGCACTGCATACAAAAGAACATGACAGGATAAGAAGGTTCTCATTCTCAAAACAAACTTTACATTTTAACAGTCCAACAAAATTACTAACAGTATGTACTATTTTTAGAACCATACAGAATTAGAATATAAAATGTAGGGGCCAACAAGTGGAATGGTAGTTATGAATTCATACCTGGTGCAAGTGTATGTGTGCTCAAAATCCCAGGAGGAGAATGGAAGAAATGGGACTGTGGTATGGCCATCCCCCCAGGAGGTGATTTCTCACTTTTCTTCTCACTGTCTCTCTCCAGTAAAAGACAGGCACCATGACAAACCCTCCCCTTCCCCCCTCAAAAAAAAGAGTATACAATTTTTTAAGGTACATAAAATGTAACTTTAGAATGACATTATTTTAAAATTCAGAAATAAGCTTTTATTAAGTAAATTATATATTCTATTTTACAGTTGAAGAAACTGGTCATAGAGTATAAGAGACTAGGATAATGGTGGAAAAAAGTGGGAATCTGAACCTAAATTCTTAGTCTGGAAAATTTTCTACCATGCCAGTATGGCTTTGCTGTGTATTACTAATAACTGCAGAAGGAAAAGAGAAAATACAATTAGAGAATTTGTACACTGTGGTTCTACTCCTAATTTAACTAAGTATTTTAAAATCTTGCTTGATTCTAGTCCTTTAAGTGAATTTTAGGATTTCATTTGCAATGTCACATTCTAGTATCCCATTTTTCCCTCAACTATTACTTTATTTAATCAAAGATAACTTGCTTATTAATTAAATTATATGGCACAGATCTGCAATCACTTAACCAAAACTGTTTAGAACTTCATAAATTTCCATATTTAAGACAGGTAACATAGAGCACGTGCAGAGTTTCATTTGATATCCCTGGTGGTATTTACTGGAGCAACCCATGACCAAGAGCAATCTTACATATATTTGCAGCAAACTCTATGATATTTATATCAAACAAGATTGTTAATGACTACAAATAGCCCAGCATGAGGTCAGGTCAGATTTGGGTATGAAACAAAATTTTTTAAAAATTCAATATTCATTCTTGGCAAATTTCACATTTGTTCATAATTCTGTTTGTGTGCAGGAGGACCTGAATATAAATATGTAGCAGTTTATAAGTTGTAAATGCAATAGCCACATGAGTTGTCACCAAAAGAGTCTTACCATTGCAAACATAATTGTACCTTTATTTAAAAAAAAATATATCTATTTTTCTCAACCCTGGATACCACCATTATCTGGCATGACAGCTGACGGTGTGCTCTTCGATCAACATGGAACCTAGTGATGTGTCTCCAGGTCATTTTTCAGAATTAGTTCCATGGAACTCAGCCTCCTAAAGGCATCACTGCTCACACATTCATTTGTGAAAAACGTATTCATGCTGGGAACACATTTTATGTCACCTTCACATATTTACTACCAGTTCACAAATCTTGAAGATCCTTGGGCTTGAGAATTCTGTTCTTTTCACCTCAATAAATGATTGTTTTTCTTTTAAATATTTGTAAAAACTTATTCCGAAATAATGAGAATGAGACAAACGTTCAGAAATAGAATGGTACACAGAAAGATCATGTTCCTTTTATGGAAATTTACCCATTGTTAATGCTTTCATATATAGGAAGGGACTTGGAAAAGTTCATGGGAAAATGGAGTTAAAACATGAGTTTGTTTTGGCACAAAAAATTAAATTCATACATAGGTTTTTGTTTTGGTTTTTGGTTTTATTTTTTGGAGAGGTTTTTGCTATAGGGTGTGTTCCCTTGCCAGAAAGACAGAGACAGAGGGACAGAAAGTGAGAAATCACCCCCTCAGGGAGGATGGCCATGCCATAATCCCTTCTCCTCCACTCTCCTCTCGGGATCTTGGGCACACACGCACATGCATCCAGTGTGAGTTTAAGCCACTGGGTCCAGGACTCTAATCGTAGTTGACTACATGGGACTCTAGTGACATAGTCATTACACCAACTGCTGGTCCCCATATATAGGTTTTTCATACTACATTTTTAATGAATTATTTGAAGACCCCCCCTATTTGTACTTATCTATATAATCTAGCTACATACATACATACATACATGCATACATATACCCACATATGTATAAACATACACAGAGAGAATGTGGATTATGTATCAGGTTAATTTGCACACATCGTGGTCCTTTACCCCTAGATACTTTAGTGCATATTTCTAAGAATAAATATGTATATGAATAGCACAGTTATCAACTTCAGGGAACTGAAAATCAACACAGAACTTGCCTGTAATGTTCACCTGCATTCTAATTATATCAATGGCCCAATCATGTCATTTATGTAGCAATTTCCCCAGCAATTCAGGGTTTAATCTAGGGTCAAGTTTTATTGCCATGTGGCTTCAGGTTGTGGTAAGCTGAAACAGTAGTAAAGACATTCTTTATCTTTTCAGTCACTGATATTTATGAAAAATCCAGTCTTTTTTTTTAAAGAGGGATTTTTGCTATAGGGCATATGTGCTTGCCAGAGATACAGAGAGATGGGAAGCAAGAAATCAACCTCCGGGGGAATGGCCACAGCGTGATCCTTTCTCCTCCATTCTCCTCTGGGGTTTTGGGCATGCACACACACACGCCCATTGTGAGTTTTAAGCTGCCAGGTTCGAAACTTGAAGCATGGTCAAATACGTGGGAGTCCAGCACCATAGCCATTATGCCATCTGCTGGTCTCTCTAGAGCTTGTTTAAGTTACTGAGATGTTCCTCCTTTGGGGTGTCTTTTCTTTTTCTCCTTTATGCATTCCAGGCTGCAATGACAATAAGTGATGTCTGTTCTCAGGGCACCATGTCCAGAGGTACGCATGCTCTTTGTGTCCCTCCTTAGTGATCTTGCATGGAGTGGCTGGATAAGGTGGTGCCAGCCTTCACCACTGTGGGATTTGCTGCGCCCTCACCCCACCCCAGCCCTCTGCTGCAATGGCAGTTAATAAGCAGTCTGTGGGGAGATACAGATGTCCAGACCATGTAAATAGCATGCTCGTCATCAAAATTTCCCATAAATTTAGCCTCTCTAATGGTTCTTGATGAAATCCATTTTTAGAATGGTGGTTACAAAATGATGGCTGTTTTTCTATTCCAACATTTTCTCTGCATTTATCAGTTGGCACACAGCATTATACCATAATCAGTAGCCCATATTTCTCTGTGTTTATGTATCTATTATCTCAGCAGGCACATAGAGTCCTGCTTTTTTATGGTCTATAATTCATTATTGTCCTTAATTATTTTGATGTTCAAATTGTCCCAAATTTGACCAAGGGGCCCTTTTTAAGCTGGCCCTTCTGTCCTTGTGGCATGCTCCACCATTTATTGGAGTGCTTCCTTTCTTTCTGGAGTAAAATGTTCCAGGCTCATCTTGTTCCCGACCCAGCTTTAGATTCAGACATCCTCCAAGGTTTTTTGGGTCTTTTTAGCAGGGAATGGTATTAGAGAAAAAGATCTTTATGCTTAGTGTATTACTCCCCACTTGAGTATCTTTGCTTCTCAGTCCCTTCAGTGAACAGTGTAGGAAGCGTATATGCCTGTATGCATACATCATAAGTACATCTTATATGTACTTATGTTTACATGGAATTGTCAATAGTGATTATATCTATATAAATATATACATGTGTGTATATGTGTGTGTTTATAAATATGTGTGTGTATATAAATATGTGTGTGTGTGTGTGTGTATATATATATATATTTCTGTTTTTTCCCATGACTTCACAGCGTTGACTCCCATCCATCTATCTTGGCTTTAGTCTTTTCTTCCCCATTCCTCTTTGATGTTTACCTTCTCCCAGGGAGGACCCTTGCTCTCAAAGATTTGTATTTTGACAGACATTTCATGGGAGTTTCTCCACTACAGTACTCTTCCAGAAAGGGGTGATTTTTCTATGAAAATTATTCCCCATTACATAAAGGGAACTTAAGGAGAAATATTGAACAATGGAGATTCTTATTTTGTCACACACTTTATAGTAAGACAATGCAAATTGTATTATATACAATTGCTATACCTGTATGATATACTATTTGACTTAACAGATTGTTTTGTGGGGGAAAACAAAGCAATATAAAAACCTGTCCACTGATAATGTTCAACTGAATTTGCAATGTACAATATCTGAAAGAACAGCAATAAAAATATAAATAGGGACCAACAGATGGTGTAATGGTTATGTTGCTGGATTCCCACATGGCTAATCGTGGTTTGAGTCTCGCACTTGGAGGTTTGAAACTCATGCTGGACATATACGCATGAGTGCCCAAGATCCCCAGAGGAGAATGGAGGAGATGGGATTGCAATGTAGCCATCCCCCTCAGGGGGTGATTTCTCACTTTCTGACTCTCTCTTTCTCCAGCAAGTGCACACACCCAGTGGCAACAATCTCTTTAAAAATAAAAGTAACTTGTATGCTTTTATAATTCCCCAAGACAATGTACACATTTTAAAAGGGTACATTTCTAACTTCAAATCTATTATTTCTCTAAGGAAGGAAGACAGAGAAAGGTGCCAGAACTTTGAGACCAAGTGACTTACTTCAGACACATGCTGACTGTGAGGTACCCAGGAATTTGACATGTTTACCTGGGTGTGCACATGTGGCCCCATGATGTGTAAAGTACTAACTGCATGTATTCCTTTTTGCTCCCCCATGGCTA